TTTATTTTAATTAAATAATTTAAAATATAATTAATATAATAATAATTATTATTATAATAAATAAATAAGTAAAATTGAATAATATATTTTTACATAAAAAAATTAATTATATAATATACAATTTAAAAATATTAATTTATTTTCTCATCTAATTTTACTTCATCAATTAACTACACATTTCATTTTTTTTATCTATTTTTTTTATCAAATCTATTTTTACATATTTATTTCCTTCTTTTTTCAATTTCTTCCGCCCCCCTCCCCCCACCACACAAAACGTAAAGAATACATATGTCAAACTATTTGTATTAACAACTTCCAAAAATAATTTTAAAATTTATAATTTATGTCATACATTACATTATATATATTTATATATATATATATATATATATTTATGCATCTATATATTTATTCATATTATAAAAGGGATATAGAATGATATAATTGTTTTTTATTTTCATTTTTAGTGAACCACTATACCCTTAAAAAAAACTTCTCATATTTTTGTGAATAACCATATATAACCACTCTTAAATTATCTTTCTTTAATTTTTTTATTTTAAAAAAATTAAAAGTTTTCTTACTAGTATATATAATTATGTTATTAGTGTGAAATATATATTGTCTTATCAATCTCCACTTAAAAAATTCGAGTTACTCATTTATCTTCATATCAATTCTAATATCACTGTTAGATATTCAAATTTACACATATATGTTAACATTGGTATGACATTATCCATTAAATCTAAAATATCATGATTTGTTTTAAGTCATATTTCAAAATGTCTCACATTAATAGAGAATATTTATGTTTTATATAATTTTTTTTTATCAACAAGGGATTTTATTTGAATTTCAACACATTTTTAAGTGGGATCTCACTCTCAACCACGTAAACAACTTCATATTCTTATATTTTCCTTTATTTTCAGCAATTGAATGACCAAATGAGAACAATGGAAAGCGAGGTAAATGAAAGGAACGCATATTATATAAAAACAAAAAAGCATTAAACCCATTAAATAGAATACACCATCATTTCACATAAGTTGTTCATGAGTTGAATAAGGCCGTTCATTCTCATATGCAACTAGAAGGGAGAGAAAACGAAATTGCGCACTCACATGTTGAAATCAAATGAGAATCATTTGTTCCATGAAATAAAAGGTTAGGTGATTCTCATGGTGGGTTGAAATCCATTGACAGTCAATCCTCCATCAACACAAATAACTTGTCCAGTGATGTAAGACGCAGCAGGCAAACAAAGGAAAGTCACCAACGATGACACTTCTTCGGGTTCTGCTATACGCTGAATTGGAGTCCGAGACATAACATCATCCACGAACTTTTGGTTTTGGAGCAACTACAAATAAATAAAACAACTTAGATCAAACACATAGGCATCTATGATCCTTGGTACAAGAAAAAGTCAAATTTCCCACGGATTATTTCCCACGGAGAGAGAGGAGTGATCATTTTACTCTAGGAGTAAGTCTACCTAGACTTACTCCGTTCAATAACTCATGTTCTACATCAAATTTCAATGATCCAACCGTTCAATTTAAAGTTCTTAATGCATAGATCAAATATGCAAAATTTTTAGAAAATTTGAAAATCATTTGATATTTCGTTTCATTAATTCGAATCAATGTATAAAATAATCTTATGATTATATGTCAATTTGAATTAATGAAATGAAGTATCAAATGATTTTCAAATTTTCTAAAAATTTGCAGATTTGATCTATGCATTAAGAATTTTAAATTGAACGGTTAGATCGTTGAAATTTGATGTAGAACATGAGTTATTAAACGAATTAAGTATAGGTAGACTTACTCTTGGAGTAAAAGGATCCCTCCTCGTATATAA